CTGTCTCCTGAGGACTCTAAGACACACATCATTGGTGCTTTCTTCAGTCTCTTAATCCCTTGCCTACTTTCTCCTCTAGCAGCTGAAATGCTGATGCACACGTTTCCCTGCCCCCACTGCAGTCCTTGCAGAGCCACTGGTGCAATTCTGGCCAATGACATACAAGGTAAGTCTCCTGGGAGCTTCTGTCCAGGCTGCTCTTCCTTCCTTTTCAGACCCTGACATGTGAGGAAGTGATGCTTAGTGTTCCTTCAGTCACGAAAGTGTGGTCCTAAGTAGGGGCACTGCTGACATACTGAGACTAGCAAAGCAAAGACATGCAAGGATCCTGTGTCTTTGATGGTATCCCCTAGTGTCCTGTCACTCATGTCCTGATGCATCCTTGAATCTATTGCTTGTCACTGAGAACGTCATCACTAGACAACTCAACACTTTTCTTTTTCCAACCAACCTTCTGGCCCCTCTGCCCCTGCTGAGGAATTTCCTGCTGTTGATTCTCATAGTGATCCACAGAATGTTGAATTGGCAGTTAAACATAGAGGGATAAAAGGAACCCAGCTCCTGGGGCAGAGATACCACAACATACTGTCTGATTAATTTCGCTAGGTCCTCTTATTGCTGCCACCATCCAAGGTCCATATAAGAACATTTCTTCATTAAAATCTGGGTCCTGAAGAGTGGCCATGGAAGTCAGTTCCCTAAACTTAGAGACTACATGCTGTATACATTAGATAAGAGAAGGAATAAATAAGACCCAGTTCTTAGCTGTGAGAAGCTCACTTTCTAGTGTGTGGTCAACCACAACACCTGACAAAACACAAAGATGGAGTTGATAAGCACAGTGTGGCCTGAGGACCCAGTCTGTGCATTGTCACCACTCATAATGGCATAAGGAGCTTGTACCAGGATACAGATCAATTCATCACTAAGTACACTGTAAATTCAGCTTCCTTGTTTGTTTACTGTGACAAAGCTTTCTTAATGAAGAAAAAAGTGGGCTGATTTACATCCGGAAGAAGTTCATTATCTTACGAAGTAGCACTGAGTGCAACTGCACTATGGTTCAAGGAATGTGAAAGAGATTAAGGCCTTTGTGGAAAAAAAGGCTGTGCAGATGTATCTTGATGAAAAGGTAAGAGATGAACAAAAATGAATCGGCAGAAAGAAGAAGGAATGGGCAGGTGGGTTGGCCGGACAAGACTGGTTCAAATTAGCCTTGAAGTGGGTACAGGAGACAAGCTGGAGGTGAGCCCTGAATACAAGCCAGAGCAGGAAGACAGAAGTTTGACACAGCAGAAAGAATTCTGAACATCTTTTGGCCTAAAATAGGAAGCCATTAAAGCTCTGTGAACAAATAAGAATAAGCTGAAAGACAAGTGATGAGGTGTCAGAAATGAAAGCTGGTCTGTGAAGAGGACAAAAGGAGAGAGAAAGAGGTAAGTGAAGGCCTGCACCTTAAAAAGTGATTGGAGAGCCAAGGATGTAGCTCAGTGGCACAGTGCCTGCCTGGCAAGCACCAGGTCCTGAGTTCAATTTCCAGCACACACTAAAAAAAGTGACTGGTGATGAGGGTAAGTGAGAGATCAGAATCAAAAATGATGGTGCCAGATTTCAAGGCCAGAGGTAGCAAGGTTTGGGGGAGACGCTTTCATGGGGATTTTCTGCTAAAGCCTGGTATACAACTCAAGAGCACATGTCCATCAAGCAATAGGTTTGGGAGTGTGGGGGTCAAAACAGAGATCTGGGGTTTAAGTTCACACAGCTGACAGTCAGCACCAGAAAACATCAGTGAGGTGGCAGCACTCACATGAAGTAGAGAAGGAGGAGAGTCCAGGACATGGAGAACAACCTGCCTTCCAATGGTGGGTAGTTGAGAAGGAGGATGACCCAGAGAAAACAGAGACTAAGGGTACGTCTGGCCAGAAGCCTGAAGCAAACAGTCCTGTAGATCCCTGGGGACAATTCAAGGAAGTGTAGCCCATGTTACAAACAGTCTGGTGAAGATGATGTAAGGAACAGCACGAGGCAGAGACCGCTGGAGACCACCAGGCTTGTGTAAAGGCAACATGGCATGGACTGTGTGGTACCTAGGTGCAGGCAGACAGAGGGCAAAAAGGCCATCTATAAGGAGACTGGGAAGCAACCTTTTTTCTTTTATAGGGTCTGAAAGAAAGAAAGGAACATTAGGTGGGAAGATCTTAGCAAATATCAGTGGTCAAAGTTCTCTGGATTGTCTCATGCCTCAATAGGTGTCCAGTGTCAGTGTTTGGGGGTGTTCAGATGTCTAGGTGTTTGGAAGATTCCCTGCTCCATCTTATCTCTTTCACAACACCCTGTGTTTGCCGAGGGTACTGGTGTTGAGTTAGGAACAATGCCTCTGCTGGCACACGGGTTGGGTATTGGAAGAGTCAGGTCTGGACTGAGCCTACCGATGAGGCTCTCATGACTGGGGGCTGAGTTTCCTGAGGACAGGCTTAGGGACACAGTGAAGGCACAGATGGCGGGATTGAGGCAGGAGGGGTTGGTCTGGTGAGTAATGAGGCAGCAGATCCAAATGTCAGCCTGAGACAGTCTGTCAGTAAAAGCAGGAAGAGACAGGGACGAAGCTAAAGTAGGCTTTTGTTGCCGTGCAGCCTATAAAAGTCTCCGGGAAGAGGTGGCAGAGTGTGAAAGATGGGAGAGCAGAACGGCTGTGGCTGAGGCTCGGCAAACCGCACCTGAAATCCACCACTCTAGACTTCAAACTGGAAGCACACCCCGAGGCAGCAAATGCAGAAAGGGCTTTCTCTGAACTCTTTATCTACCAGCAGACTCTTTATCTACGCAACAGCCTTCAATTTTCTCACTGAAATTTCATTAACCAAAGAAGATTAAACTCATATCACAGAGGAAGAGACTGAACATCAGACAGCACACCTAGAGCCCAGTGGGACTTTGTCCCAGCCAACGTTTGTTCTCCCGGCTCGTTCTCTCCCTAAAACTTTCTTGAAGATTGCCTATGCCCTCCTCCTCCCTCTCGGCTAGGAAGAGGATATCTACGCCTCAGGCACTGAGCCCTTGTGTTTCATATTTTGTGTGGTTCTTGTGCACAAGTGCATGTTAACCCTCTGTACACCTTCTCTCCTGTTAATATGCTATCCATTTATTTTCAGCAAACTCAACTATCAAACCTTTCAAGGAAAACTTTGCGTTTCCCTTACAGTCCCCACCATAGAAGGGCCTACAGGTCTGGAAGACTGTACAAGAAAGACCATAGCCTAAGGGATGAGAGCAAGTGAAGAAAGGTCAGCAAAGATAAGAGAGTCAAGTGCAGTGGAGAGGGCTCAGATTTGCTCATAAAGTTAGTCATTATCGAGGTTTGGGGGGAGTCAGACTGAGGTTCATTTTCCAGATTGGATCATTGATTTGCCCAAGGTCAAATGGCCAGAAGATGTTAGCACTAGGACCTGAATCTAGGTCTTGTACCTGGGAAATTCAGTGATCTTTCTACCTCATCGGAAATGCTAAACTTTGTTATCTTAATAGGTGATAGTTCTTCTCTTTAAGTACCTTAGAATAAGCTGGATATTTGGGCAAGTATTCTAAGGCAGTCTCCTTTAAAGATTGTTCAGTGATGGTCACACATGAGAGAAGTATTCAGAATTTAATTTTTCAAATCTCGAAAATATTAAGCCATCTCGAAAAATTAGAAAAATATTTTAAGTAAAGACTAACTCTCAGGTGAAAAGATACAGAGAGCTCCTTAGTATGAAATCTGTTTCAAATTTTTTATGGACAATGGGATAATACAGTAACCATTGTTCATTTTCTATTATTTGGTTCTGAATGCCCTGTAACACTTTCATTCTCTTGAATGGTTTATACTATTTTGTTATGTTTGATACTATTGTGTATGAAGGAATGCTCAACTATTTCAAGGAAAAGTCATTATGGTAGCTACTGTTATATCGGGTTGTCTTGAGGTAAAATACTGTGTTGCTTAAATTGTTCTGTTCTGATCTGCTTTGTTATGTCCTCTTTCATCTTAATCTCTTTAAAATAAAAAATTTTTAAAAAGAAATGGAATAAAAAAATATGAAATCTGTTTCTTTCTTTGATTTAACTTTTTTTGATTAAACTTTTAATGACATTCCCACAATCAACTTGGGGCAAAATTCAAAAGGCAAAGCTGCTTCATCCTATTAGGCCACACCCTTTACATAGTCCACTGGTGCCCATAGCTGTGTCCTTCTCCTGATACACATGTGACAGGCCCTGGAGGATTTTTCTTAAGTCTTTGAGCCACTGAGCTAAATCACTGGCCCTCCTGGGAGACTTTTCTGAGAGAAAGTAGAAGCCTTTCCTAAAGAGCGGGGCTTGGTGTCATGACCTGAGCCCAATTTAGCCAATCACGTCCCTGTAATCGCAATTGCTTGAGCAGTTCAGGCAACCCCTAAAAATAGTGCACTATGGCCCCAACAGACTCTGTTTCACTCCTTTTGATTTATATTTAACACAGCTTGTAGGTAAACAGGAAATTTTACTCCCTTTTTGTCTTTGCTTGAATCTAGGGTTTCTTGTCCTCAGGACTTGGCATTTTGGTCTGGATACTCCTGTAGCAAGAACATAAGGCTTGTTTTCTGGGATGCTTAACAGCATCAGTTGTTTCTTCCCACTATATGCTAGTAGTGGAACCCTTTTCCCCAAAGCTGTGAATACCACAATTGTCTTCAGACATTGCCACATGTCTGGTAGAACAGGAGGAATTTCCTCCCGTTAAGAACCACTGCTTTAATTCAGTGAGGCCAACTACAGGTTTTACCATGACAAGAACCCAAAACCAGGACTATGCTCAGGTTGCTCTTGTACAATAAAGACTTATCATGGTGTAATCACCCATGTGGGTAGAATGTGATGGGAGAGACTTTTGGTTCTACTCTTGATTAATTCACCAAAATGACATAATGGTAGAAACACTGCATTGTCCATTATAACAGAGCACTTGTATGAATGAGACTCACCAATTTTTCTCAGTGACAGCAGGAAAAGAGATTGAAGTCTTAGCATGGCCATTGTTGGCTTCAGCTTCAAGATAGTTTCTCTGTTCAATAGAAGTTTTCAGAACTGAAAAAGACAAATGAGAACTTAAGAATCTCAGCATAGGTTCCAAAGCTGATAGGGTTGGAGTCTTTGCACTCTGCAGCTCCTCTCCCCTGACCCTGATGTTGCTCCCTGATCATCTGCAGCGTTCTTCAGGCTATGTCATTGTAACTCATCTGTCCTGGGACTCTAGGTCTTCTCCTGTGCTAGATCTCAGCCAGAAAATTGAATAAGGTTCATAGAAACACAAGAGCATCTACATCAGTAGACCAGCTTCTAAACCCACCTGGGAAATGTGGATAGTGAGCTGAAGGATAAACCATCACAACATGAGTAGAATTAACTGGAAACAGGGACTCATGTAAGGAGCAACCAACTTCTGCACTATTATTGAGAGTTTACTGATATATTTCTCAAGAGTGAAGTCAACAAATAGAATTGCTACTTCTCTTGACCGTGGCAGCCATGACTAACCAATCATGATCTCTCTTTTCTATGGAACCTTAATTCATCTTCAGATTCCTCAACATAACACTGGTTCTCAAAGTGTGGGCCCCTAATTAGCAGTATCAGTATCAGTGTCAACCAGAAACTTGTTAGAAATATACATTCTTGAGACTCATGGCAGAACCAGTGCATCAAAAACCCTGGTCAGTGATGGACCTGGAAATTTGTTTTCAACAAGCTGTCTAGGTGGTGCTGATCCAGGTGGATGATTCTTTTTTTGTTTGTTTGTTTTTTGGTAATAGGGATCAAACTTGCAACTTTGCACTTGTCAGGCAGGCACTTAAGCCACTGAGATAAATCCCCGGCCAGATGGATGATTCTTAACCCTGGCAGTACATGAGAATCACCAAGGAAGATCTGAGCCTGTCCCCCTAGAGATTCTGAAACCCATCAGGAGGTGAGGTGGTGGCTAGCAACTTGCCCAACAATTTTAATATGTGACCAGGGCCAAGAATCATAATTCCAAGTAGTCACCACCAATCAAATGGGGTGGGAAGGAGAGCCGCACCCATTCACCATCCTTATGTTAGATAATATAGAAGCGGCTAAACCAAAATAAACAAAGATGATCCATGAACTTGGTGATTGTAAGATACTATGGAAGACATGTAAAATGTCAGCACTTTAGGTTGCTGGTAGGACATAAAACATGACACATATGGACTATAGAAAACTAAATATAGAAATCAATTGTTTTTGTGTTATCTGTTTTAGAAATAGCATGCTCTGATTTTGAATTGCTAGTTTGGTACCTTAAATGTAATTATCTCTGTGAAGGAGAAATGCAATTCTCTATGCTATTACTGGTAGATAAAACCATTTGTTGTTGTTACTATCATTGTTATAACTTCAAAAACATAAAAAACTTAAATGGAACATTATTCAATTTTTATTATTGCATAAAAAACATAATAGCCATGAGGCAAAGTGGCACACACCTGTAATCTCAACTACTTGAGAGGCTGGAAGAGGAGGATCAGAAGTCTAAGGCCAGTCTAGGCAGCTTGGTGAGACCCTGTCTCAAAATAAAGTACAAAGCACCAGCTGAGTGCTTGCCTAGCATGCATAAGCCATAGATTGAACCCTTAGTATCAAAAAACAAAACAAAACAAAACAAAAAAAAAGTTATAAACCAATAGTGAAAACAAAACCGAAAACATAGTTGGAGCCCCAGGCAGGTTGTCCCTGTCTTGAAAACGAGTTGGCCCAAGCTCACTTGTCACACTGGGATAAGCAAAATAAAAGCAATAATTGACAAAAACAGAAAAAGGAAGAGCCCATTCTAAGGACACAGCTGTATTTCTGCTTTCTTACTGAAAAATAAAATTGCCATAACTAATTTTTAACCTTCTCTGGCCCAATTCACCAGAATTTAAATAGTATTCCCTGTGTGCAGGACGGAGATAGCAGGCTTTTGTCTGCAATGATTTTGAGATCCCGGGGGAGGGGAAAGGAACAACAGTAATTTAACAGCACTGCAAAAGGATGACCACAGAGTCCATTTTGGTTTGGGACTCTCCTTATGAAAGTGTACCCCCAAAACTGAAGAAGAGGGGGCAGCAAGATTTTACTGGGGAACTTAGTGATCATCTTCAGTTACTTTGCTTGGGTTTCTAATAAAAACACATAGAATTTCTGTTCATGTAATTGAAGGGCGAACTTACTCCATGTTTCTTATTCATTTACACTTCAGTCATCAAAATATTGATTTTAAGAGTTATTTGAAGTATAAAATCCAAACAGAAAACTTACAGAATATTCTTAATAAAGCTTAGCAGAAGTCTGTGCCTCCATCCCCTAGCTTTGCCTGAAGAGCAGAGAAAGGGATTTGGGTCAGGAAAGAGACATATTTAAATAAGTTAAGATTATCAGCCCATTGAGTTCAAAGCAGGATCCAAAACTGCCAAGCACTTTTAAGGGTGCCCTGGTGACTGACAGCTGGAATCACTTTGGCATCTCTCTGGTGAATTCATCACGGAAAAATGACCCTGGAAACTTGAAGATATGAATTTTTAAAAAGCAAGAAATAAAGTTACTAATTTAGGTGAACAGGTTGGGTTCCAGGATTTAGACCAGTCACATGACTAAGAAATAAAATGATGAACTTCAATAACAGATGTGTTGATAACATGCTGAACTTGGGGTGGAGGTGGGGTGCAAGAGTAGTGACAGAGGCTTTTCCTGAACAGGTCACCCAGAAGGTCCCTAAATGTCTCTGGTTTAATGAAGTAAACCAATATTTGGAGCAGAGTTTGCTGGAGGAACTGTCCCTCCAAAATCAGGTTGAGCTCCCCAAACCATTCATAGTTTCCAGAAAAACTGAATAGGGTCTTCAATAGACCATTCTGAAATAAGATGGAAAAGCATTTGACTGTCAGGGGAAACAAGAAGAAAGCAGATGTTGCAAAGTCCTTTGGTGCCACCCACAAAACAAAGATCAGGCAAAGAGGACACGGCGTGGCCAGGTTTGCGTGAACTACAGAATGAACTACAAATGCGTTGCCAACTTAGGAACAAACAAAACATCTGCTAGTGCCCAGAGAACCCCAAGCAATGACAGGAGAGCAGCTGCTCCTGCCGAGGCTCCAGGAGAAGCCTGCTGAAACCCAGATTTTGGATTCTGTTCTCTAGCACTATTGAGAGAATACATTTCTGTTGTTTTAAAGCTAGAGTTCATGGTAATTTGTTATAGCTCCTCTGGGAAACTGATCCAGAGGCTGGGAGTGGCAAGATGCTAAGGACTGGAAGAAAGAAGGAAAGATCAGGTAGTATTTCAGCTTGATTTGACTGTAGCAGTAAGGGGGTTAGGGAAGAGAGACAAGGAAAATTCCATTCCTTTTTATTTAACAAACAGAAATGCATGGATTATTATGTTCCATGCACTGTTCTAGGTCCTTTACAAAAATGAACTTATGACTGGAGATGGCACATGCTAGTCTATAATCCCAGCTTTTTTTCTTTTTCCTTTTTCATTCTCTCTCTCGCTCTTTTTTTTTGTACCAGGGAGTGAACTCATGACCTTATGCTTGCCAGGCAGGTGCTTATGCTGCTGAGCTAAATTCCCAGCCCAAAATTCAATAGGTTGAGTCAGGCAATTTTGATGGCAGCCTCGGCAATTTAAAAAATAAAATAAGTATTTTCGAATAAAATTTTAATAGGGTCTGGGATATAGCTCAGCTTTTCTTGGGCTCAAGTACCAGTACTGGGAGGAAAAAATTAAGTTATTTTATCCTCAAAGTAACTGTAACAGGTAGAGCTCACTGTTATTTATTCACATTTTATAGGTGAGGAAACTGAAGCAAAGGGAGACGAAGCGACGGTCAGAGTCACCTAGCTGAGGAGTGGTGGAGCCAGGTCTGAACCCAAGCAGTCCTATCCTCAAGTCTTTATTCCTAAATACATGGCGCAGCCCCGTTGCCTTGAACATGTAGGAATTACAGTCCCTACTCTTTCTCTTCACTGCCTCCCCTTATACATGGAAAAACAAATTTAGATGTTCCCACATTTTTTCAGATCTCTAGGTCTCTCTAGGAACCCTCAGACCAAAGGCTGTGGGCAGTGCTTCTGGCCCGGCCTGGTGTTTGGTGAGTCACCTGGAGGAGAGAAGCAAGCACTGTCTGGACAGGGACACAGTCTTTTTTTTTTGTCTTTTTTCCTTTTTATCGGTACCAGGGATCGAACTCACAACTGCCTCCTTGCAGGGCAGGCACTTATGCCGCTGAGCTAAATCCCCAGGCCCAGGGACACAGTCTTGGTAGGTTTCCTAGTTGGTGATCCAGGCTGGGGAAGCTCACCTATCCTCCTACTAGACCTGGCAAAGGGAGCTTAGAATAGCTGGCAGGAAAGGCACACACAGATGAGACACAGCCCAGCCTGCCTCTCCTGGCCACTGCTGGCCACTTTCCCAAAGAGCCAGAGTGGATTCCAACTGCAGTGACAGCTGGTCAGCAGCCATCCTATCAGAACTGAAGAGGCCAACATGTGGGAGGTCCGACAGGCAAATGCTTCTGAGAGCAGCACGGAGAGAGTGAGCTTCTTTCCTTAAAGAATTGGACCTTGTGGACACACTTTTTGTTTTCCCTACACCACATCAAAAACCCTGGTTTCCATCCAAACACATAAAACCAGTGCTGTGATTTCAGGTGTCTGAGAGCATTTCCACTTTGATTCTCTAGTACTTAATCCCAGTAATTATCCCCGCTAAACTGACAGAATTCAAAGAAAGTCTTGCCTGGCAGTTACTTTCTCCAACCTTGAAGCTGAGAGAAGTTCCCTTTATCCTAGAAGTCAGTGTCGTGCCTGTTTGGGAATATGGTTGTCTGGGAGAAGTTCCTTTTCCTCTGAACTTCTAGGGACTGTCACTCTAGTTGCTTTATTATTGTCCAGCCTCCCATTGAATTTATTGTTTATAATGTATCCCCTGCCTGCTTCCAAGGAACTGGAGGTAGCTTCACAGAGTGTGTGCTTCCTGTGTCTGGATGTTTGGCCCACTCAGTGCCCACCTGTAGTCCTGGGCA